AGCGAGGGGCCCTCTGAGTNCCACCATATTTTTATCCAAAATGCTTTAACCTTTTTACAAGTCCACCATATACGATAATATGTAGCATCAGCACATCACATCTGAATGATAGTCTTAAACTCTCTGGTTCCACGATAGAGAGAATGGATGCAGTAGGAGTCCCTTTCACGCATACAGAAAATTGGCATCAATTGATTACGTTTTACCACTTTAAAGGCTCTTTCCTCATATTACAGATACTCTTTATTGACTCTTTAATCCCTTCTCTCTTCTTTAAAATTTATTCCCTCTAGAGTTTTGTGAACTTTTAAGAAGTACGTGCGGTTAATGTGCAATTTTTTTTTTAAAAAAAGCATTTGCTGCCTTTCAAAAAAAAAAACCATTAATCACAAACCTTCAGAGCAGAAACATTATTAATAACAAAATCAATGATCAGAAGAGGCGACGGGATTAAAAAAAAAGATTCAGAAGCAAATTAATAACTAAACTTCTCTACGGGGGCATTTTAAAACAGACAAGCTATAACAGAAAAGCATCTTGCTTCTTGTGGGGGGGTTCATTTTTGCCTCAATATAAATGACAGATCATTCAGCCGGAGTCACATCAATCAAAAAAATATGACAAAGTTCATCAATGCTGTTTTCCGATGCTGTCTATATGTAAAAGAATGTTAAGTCCCAAGTTCCAAAAAGCACTGAACCCCCAGAAGCACAAATAACTATTAGAAAGATTCCAGAAGATCTGCATTGATCTTCAAAACTTGAGATCTCACACCTGTAATGGTGAAAGAAAGAAACATTTCAATGACAAAAAAATCTGTCAAGCCCAAGAAAAGCAGGAGATTCAGGCAGTTTAAATGAATGTAAGATTTATTGCAACCTTAAGCTCCCCCCAAAAATCTATATATGTAAACAAGTCTGTCTGTCAGTCTGTCTGTATGCATGTATGTATGTATCTGTGGTGGGATTCAGCCAGTTCCCACCTACCCAGGAGAACCGGTTCTTAACTTTCTAAGAGGTTCAGAGAACCGGTTGTTGGAAGAAATCTTCCTTAGGTTTTTTTCCGCTTTACAGGGCTAATCCTGTAAGGAAGGCAGGAAGGAAACATTCTGGTGTTGTTTCTAGCCTCATCTTTATTGCCCTGCTTACAGAAACTGCCTCTCGGTTAACCCTTATTACCATTGTAACAACTAAGGTGACGTGCCCATCGATCTGAGTGACATTGACTTGGCCACGCCCACATGATCACATGGCCACCGAGCCCCGCCTACCCAGCTGGTCATATGACTGGGTGGGCGTGGCCAATGCAACATCACTCACGTCAATGGGCTCTTTGCCTTAGCTGTTACAATATAATAAAGAGTTAACAAGAGAGGCAGTTTCTGTAAGCAGGGCAATAAAGATGAGGCTAGAAACAACACCAGAATGTTTCCTTCCTGCCTTCCTTACAGGATTAGCCCTGTAAAGCGGAATAAAACAAAAATAAGATTTCTTCCAACAATCAATTCTCTGAACCTCTTAGAAAGTTAAGAACCGGTTCTCCCGA